GAAAAATCAAATTATTGAAAATGAAGAAGAATATAGGAGATTAATGATTATATACGCTTTAAATGATTGTTTAGCTGTAACAAAGCTAATATCAAACATATATGATGATAAACAACTTATCGATTATGAACAAGATCAAGTACCAGATGATTCATTTTTATCGGATGAAATCAATCATGATGTCGAAATTCATGTACAACGGGAAATTTCTGAATTAAATGATGATCATATACATATTGAACCAATACATAATGCATTAATAAGGGTTCATGTAGAAAATGAACCCTATGAAATGATAAGCGACGATAAGTTCGATGGCATATCTTTACCGGAGATAATGAAACTCCATTTACCACATCAACAACAATTATATAATGGGAAACCACTTGATTATAATGATACATTAATCGGGGTTCATGCGCAAAATGAACCCTCGAATGAAATAGGAATTATTTCAGACGATGATATAGAACAAAATAGACCGGCTAATCAACATTCACATCAACATCAACCGTTAACCAGAAACCAAAGGAAAAATAGAAAAAAACGTGAAAAACGTTATCAATTTGAGATCATCCGGTCAGTTTATTACAAATTTACTATGCGAAACATTAAAAAGATTTTAATATTTATGAATATTCCGTATGTGAACTTTAATGTTGTCGGGAAAATGTTGTTCCTGGGTGTAAAGAACGAACACATCCGAAAACAAGCCGACGAAATTTTACACAGTGGCATATTCACCGAGGAACATTATTATCGAATACGCAAACACCTACACCTCGACCAAAAATTTAAAAAAAAATATTTTTTTTTCAATTAAACTTTTGTTGTTTGTCAGATCTAACTGTTAAAACATCTATTACTTGTTTTTTTTCTTCTTCTTATGCCTTTCTATTTTCAAACTATTATACATTTTCCTGTTATGTCTTTCTATTTTTGAGCTACATTTTCTGTTTATACTCCTTGTATTTTCTTTTCATCAAACACGTGTGCGGACACACGTCTTAATTCAAGGGGGTCGACTGTTACGGGCTGATGCCCTCACATACTATTATTCTCTTTTCATGTATTCTTCTATCTGGTCATCCGCCACATCTATCGGTGTTGTCTTCTCGAAGGAGGAGAGATGTGTGCGTTATCTATTGTTTGTTTTCTCCTTTTTGTTTATTGTTAAGCTAGTCAGTTATAGTTTTTCTCAATAAAGAGAAGGGTGAAGATATCACCCCTAACACTTTTAATTTTAAAATTTTAAAATTTATCAAATAAGATTATTAAAACATTACCAAAAGACGATGTTTCATATTTCTCAATGCCGCGCGATTTTGAATACATAAGGAAGTCTTTCTTTATGAAAATATATATTCTCTCATATGAAAAACGTTTCTAATTGCACGAAACAAATCTTAAATATTTTCAATTAAAAAACAGGAAAGAAAAGAACAATAAAGATCACCATTTTAGATTTAGATTTTTTGAATTTACTTCGAAAAAAAACACTGAAGTTCTTGAATAATTTCCGGAACATTTTCTTGCCTCTACATAACAATTTATAGTCACGAATAGCATATGTTATTGATGAATGACTGATTTATTTCAATATGTAAACTAATCACAATCAATTAAACATGAGTCCATTAAAACTTCAACTTTAAGTAATGACGATTCAATACGTTTACTTAAATTTTCAAATCTATTTTTTTGGGTTTTAATTTTCCAAGAATCGACATCTTTTTACGTTGAGCGTCGATAATATATTAAAAGAAGTGTCTTTCACAGTGTACAGACAAGGAGGCTAAGCGTTCATTTTGTATCTTGTGACATTTTTTAGATTGTATTGCACGAAATCTAAATTTAATTAGAAAATTCTATAGTGCTTACGCATCTAAATATTACGGTAAGATTTTCAACATGGGTTCAAAATGTTCGACGCTTCAAATAGGAGGTAAAGTTCATATATCGGGTAATGGTAACTCACATTTAATAATCAACGGTACCCATGTCGAATAGAACGGTCCGTAAACGGCCCTAAACGACTAAAAACGGTGAAAAACGGTAGGCGTTACGGTGGCCAGATACGAAGTACCGGAAAACGATGCGATACGGCGAAAAACGGTGGCCTTTTAGGTGACTTTTTCCGAGTTGTCGGAAACGACTACCTTCTAAGACGAACGTTTTTTTACCGTTTCTCATCTGTTTTATTTCGAGATAGAAATATGGGTGTGGGTGTAGATATCCTCCTCACCCACACCCACACCCACATCCACACGCACACCCTCATCCACACCGCACCCACACCCAAAAGCATTCAACTACATTGAGATAAAATATAGATTGGACATTTAAATTTACACAACAGATTTTTGTGCCACCTGATATATATCATTATTGATGTTCTTTGTTTTAATCCCAACTATTTTAAACTATGGCATTTGATATCAAAGAGCGTTCTTTTTGTCTCTTTCACCTGTGTCGATTGATATAATTTGTTATTCTTGCTTGAATATGCTATATCCAGATTCAAATACAAAAATATAATTTGCAGTTTTAAATTAAAAAAAGACAAAACTATTAAATGATACCAAACGTACAGATCACTTACAATAAGAACGGCGATTAAGAAACAATGTTTTAAAGTTTTTCTCAGCAGAAAATTGACTAAGCATAAACGTCGATACTTCTCAATTAATGACTTCATGTCTCATTATTCTGTTTT